GAGACAGAGCTCAACTCCTGTCCCCCAGAGGCCAGGAGTGCAGGGCCGGATCTCACTCACTGCAGACCCGCCATCCCGGTTTACGCTCCCATTCTCCTGTCTCACCCCTTCTTCCCGAGTATCTGGATTACAGGCCCCGCCAACTGTTCGCCGCTCCTATTTTTTTGTAACATTTTTTAGTAATGAACGACGGGCGTTTCCACCTTTAGCCAGGATGCGCCTCGAATCTCTCTTGACTGTCGTGATCCACCCGTCCGCTCCCAAGCCGGGATTACACAGCCGCTAGAGCCACTGCGCCCCGGGCCCAATTCCTCTTATCTCGAGCTCCAAAAGCCTCTCTCAGAGTGAGCCTTCCTTAACTTGTTTCACTGTTACAGGCATCTGCCGACATTTGTGGGTGCCATATGGAACCTAAATCCTAAAAACATCTTCTGCACATCTAAAGGTTAGAGAAAGTGCTTGTTCCCTCTTTCCTCAATGTCTTCAATGAGAGCAAAGCATTCTCTGTGGGAAGCATATGAACATTTCTGGCTTGGTTCTAGTCCTTGGCCTGGGCTGCTGATTATTTTCTACTTGGGTCCTGGCTTCCCCTCAGGGAGCTGTTTCTTATCCCTTGGGTTTCCTGTGTTCTTTTTTTTTATTTTTTATTTTTAATTTATTTTTATTTTAGGGTGATTGAAGGGTCCTCCCCCTTTTTTTTTGGGACTTGAGTTTCGTCCTGGTCGCCAGGCTGGATTGCACAGTGGCCACGGATGTCGGCTTTCACTTGCCAATTTTCCCCTCCCAGATCAATAAGAGATTCTCCTGCCTGTCAGCCTCCAGAGGTAAGGCTGGGATACAGGGTGGTGCACCACCAGCCCCCACTAATTTTATTTTTGTTTGAGACGGTTCGCCCCTCTTCGCCCAGGCTGGAGTCATGGATCTCTAACTCACTGCAGCTCTGGCCTCCTGGGTTCCACCATTCTCCGTGCCTTTCCAGCCTTTCCTGAGTGGCTGGGGAACTTACAGGTGGCCCCCACCACTCCCAGCTAATTTTTGTATTTTAGTAGGAGACGGGGTTTATAACCATGTTAAGCCATGAATTGGTCTCGATCTTACTGACCTCATGTGAATTCTGCCTGCCTCGGCCTCCCAAAAGTTGCTGGGATTACAGGATTGAGCACTGTTGCCTGGCCTAATTTTTTTTTATCGTTAGTGGAGACGATTTCACCGCCGTTGGCCAGGCTGGTCTCGAACTCCTGACCCTCATGATCTGCCCACCTCAGCCTCCCAATGGCTGGGATTATAGGCCGTGAGCCACTGTTGCTAAGCTAATCTTTTATTTTTCTTTCTTTTTTTTTTTTTTTTGAGACGGAGTCTCGCTCTGTCGCCTAGGCTGGAGTGCAGTGCCAGACTCAGGCTCACTGCAGCTCCACCTCCCAAGGTTACGCCATTCTTCTGGCTCAGCCTCCCGTGTAGCGGGACTACGGGCACCCGCCATCTCGCCGGATTTTTGTATTTTTTAGTAGAGATGGGGTTCCACGGGGTCGGATGGTCTCGATCTCCTGACCTCGTGATCCGCCCATCTCGGCGCCTCCCAAAGTGCTGGGATTACAGGCTTGAGCCACTGCGCCCAGCCGCCAATCTTTTTATTTTTCTTACATTGACCTCTTGAGATACTAGGAGGCTTCTTCCTTTACATTGACCTTTTTTGAGATACTAGGTGGCGTCCTTATTCTGGAATTCTTTATTCACTTTGAACTTAACAGATGTTGATCACATCTCTTGTGCCCTTGCCATGTCCTCCACTTCCTTCAAGCCTTCCTCCTCCTTCAGGAGAAGATGACACTGGAAATGACTGGGGTTGGTTTCCCATTCTCTTGGCCCATTTCCAGTGACTGCAGGTCAGTTTTTTCCCCCCATGGATTTGACTCTCAGGAAATAGTGAGATGTTCCTGCACAAGTCTCTAAATCAGAAAGTATCTCTGGAGTTATCGTGGGGAGCCTGAGACTGGGAGGGGAAAATGTTTCAAGGGCCAAGCACAGTGTCTGGCACCCGTTCATTGGTATGTGTTGAGTTACTGGATGAGGGTGGCCGGGATGGGGAAGACCTGGTCAGGCTTGGGGCTTGGTGGGGAAGGGTTAGGCCTTGGAGCTTGCCATAGGACCTTTTGGCCCTGGGTGTACATAGACCCAGAGGGCAGCTGGAACAGTCAGTAGCGGTGGAGAGGCTCAGGTAATGCCGGAGCGTCTAGATGGACCATGTAGGAAGCAGCTGTGGCCTGAAGACCAGAAGATCAGGCAGCCATGAGAGCCAGAGTGGCTTTCTGCTTCAGCTCTGGGCACTCTCAGCCCTTCCTTGTTCCTGAGCAGGTCCTCTAGCAGGAAAGGCCCTGCCCTGGCTTCCTCTGGATGGAAAGTTCTGACTG